TTCTGATGCAGTTTTCAGCTTCTCCCTGTGGGATTTTTTATGCCAATAATGAGTAAATAATTATTTTTGCATCCTTGTTTCCTGATCCAATCAGGTTTGTTTTTTTTCGTTTTTCATGCTGGTTATTTTGTCCTTTCCTTTTGCTGACCTGCACAGCCTCCCGCCCGGTGGAGAACCAGCTGTGCACGGGTCCGATCCCAAACAGATCCCAGCTCTGCCAGATCCCCTGTCCCATCGACTGCGAGGTGTCACCGTGGGGGGCCTGGGGTCCGTGCATCTTTGAGAACTGCAACGATCAGACCGGAAGGAAAGGTAAAAAGATCAACTTTAAAGGGTCAGAATTATGTGAAATTGACGTTTTTGAGCTTTATATTGTGTTATTATGTTATTCCCTCATCAAAAACTTACCTGGAGTGTTGCTTTGATTCGTTCATGTATGTTTGAGAAATCCTTTAATCTCCATGGCAACTATTCAGCTGCACAAAGCGCCTGGGTGAATTTAATATTTTAAGATAATGTCATCAAACAGACAAAATATTAAGTTATGTGCAAATTCTGGCATTTTAAAAACTGAAATAAAGAAAATGACCACAAATAAGTGCAAAACAACACATTCAGGCAAAAGAAACACTTTTTATTATATTAAACTCAACATGTGCTTCCAGTGACAATATTTATTTATATATCTTATAGATTTTATCGCTTACGGTTATATTTGCATTATTAATATTTAACATCTAGAATGGAGTAGTTGTCAAGTAATAAGCATTTCCTCCTTGGGGATCAATAAAGTAAATTCTATTCTATTCCAATATTTATTGCATATTATTACCCTCTAAATGGCACAACAGGTTCAGCAGATAGAAAATAACATGAGAACAACAAAGCTGGTGTGAAAAACTGAGATCTTTCACACACATATGTTTGTGTCTCATATGTTTTTGGTAAAATATGTTTGTTTTTCATTGAGTTGAAAAACAAACATTTAATTAATATGTTTTCTGCACATCCAGAAATTTCTGAAACATTTCTGGATATGCAGAAATTTTACTCAAGTAAGTGTAGCAGTAATTCACAATAATATTACTAATTTAAAAGTAAATAGTACAGCTCAGTTAAAATACTACTTAAAGTTGTTACTCTAGTAAATGTAATTGAATAAATATTACGGCTGGCAGACAAATGTATCATGATGTAAGTGTTTTATACCAGTCCATATCGATAATTATAGATTAGTTTTTTGTTTCAAATTTCTGAAATACTGCCAAACTGGATGTGTGACCTTATCCAGTTTTCACTCTACGCTGTTGTTTTTCTTTTAATTTTTAAGTAGTTATGAGGCAAAGTGGGGAAACTTTAAACTGCTGCTGTGCCAGTTACTCAGCAGGTCGTTGCTAGGTAACCAAAGAGTGAGTGAGTTGCTAGGTAACCATAGAATGAGTGAGAGTTGATTCCACCAACTTTGCTTGGCTGGCTGTGAAAGGTTGAGCTGAGCAGCTAAAGTCTTTCCTCTGTCTACATCTCCCAGAATGCTGTGCGGTTCTGGATCAGAATTCTGTGAATATTCTATCCTAATTTATTTTGATTACACGTCTATCGTGATTTATATTGTCACTGATTTATGCTTATATTGATGATGGACTGTATTCAAACCAATGGAAGGATGTATTTTGAAGTCTTTTTGGGTTGTTTTTTTTTTTTTACTCATAGGCTTCAAACTGAGGAAACGACAGATTACCAAAGAACCAACCGGGGGCCCAGGAAGCTGCCCTCACCTAGTAGAGGCCATGCCATGTGATGAACCCAGCTGCTACAAATGGCAGCTGGTCAGCCTGGACAGGTGTATTCCTGATGACGGGAAGCAGTGCGGCCCTGGAACTCAGCTGCCTCAAGTTCAATGCATCAGCAGTAACGGTGAGCGGAGGCAATATGATCTCATTGTCCGATCGGATAATGGGATTTTTGCAGAGTGATGAGATGCTGCGCAGATGGCAATGATGCTTTATTATGCTGTGTGTTTTCAAAACTGTGAGTCATTTGTTCAAATTAAGCACATCGTTCTTGGAGACGGCGCTTCATGATTGACATCATCAAGCGAACAAGCTCTGATTTGCCCATCCCTGTGCTGCGGTGATTTTTTTTAATCCACCTCCATTTGTCAAATTAAAAAAAGTGACACACAGGCTAGGCTTCGCAAGAAAAACACCATATTTCTGAAGGTCACCTATCTGCTGACCCTCCGGCTTTTGGTGGACATTGACGTACGTGAGGAGATTTCCATTACACAACTCCTCTTCCCGTCATCCTTCCTCCCTCTCTTTTTTTTTAAACCTCTCCTGCTTTAACGCTTGCTTGATTCAGCTTTGCCACCCGTCCCCCTGCTGTCTGTCTCATTACAGTTTCCTCTCTGCACGCACAATTAAACCTCCCTCTCAGTATATCAAATCAGTCCTCAGAAACTCTGGGAGTTGGAGAAACTTCCACTCTTTGCTGCTTTACATTATTACTGCTTTCCTCTATTACTCCTTATATCTAAAGGTAATGTAATTAGCTCTGCGATAGCATAAGCTGCTTTTCCATTATAAATACATACAAAATGTTGAAATTTTGCTCATAAAAAAATAAATAAAAACAATTTAACAGTTGCCGTGTTTCCATTAAATAAGAAACGCATTTAAATCACACATGAATAAGTTTTTCCACTCGATAAATCATGAAAGAACATGCAGCGCCCTCATCCTTCAACCACTTTCTGTTGCCTTCTTTGTTGTTTGCGCCAGTGGCAACACCTGTTTGTTGGTCATGTGACTCTTATGATCCAAAAAAGTGTTTCCATTTCACTAATTTTGATACAACCAAAAAATCAATTCATCCTAATAAAATGTTTATTGAAAAATTAGATTTTTTTCGAAATTGGCATTGATTTCAAAACGCCTTAATTACCTGTCTAAATGTGTTGTTCTTTCAGCAAATTGCATGCTTTTGAGTCTATATACTCTAGTTAATAATTAATCAATTACTAAATTAGTTGACGATTATTTAAATAATCGATTAATCACAGTTAATTCGATTAATTCGATTGATCGTTTCAGCCCTAATCCTGACTAGTGCATTTTACTATTGGAGAATATGAACAAATTGTGCAACAACTTTTGAATATCAAATAAACAAATGAACTATTGCACTTTATTGGAAGTTCCAGACAAATCACACACTTCACACAGCATTCAGACGGTTGTATTTTAATGAGTGGAGCGGATAGTGTGGGCGGTTTCATTAGTTTTAATGTGGTATTTGGAGTTCAGAGTGCTGTACGTTTGCTTCAGGCTCTTATCTTGATGGTTGTGTTTCAGTTCACCTGCCGCATCGATGCTGATGAGAAACTAGACGCATTTTAAACAGCTTAAGGCATAAAGCCTCGAATTGTTTTGGCTGTCCTGAGTTTAACTCTTCTGTTTGATAGAAGGGGCTGCAGGGATACATGAATAACAAATAACAACAGCACAAGAGTGTATCTTCAATTTCCTGCCTCTACTGACATCACTATATGAGAAAATCGTGCAAAAAATATAATTCAACAGCACAAAGTTTGATCGTCAATAGGATTTTTCTCTCTTCGCTATGAAACAAAAGAACAGACTGGTTGATATATAAACTAGTGGGCTGCCAGTTGTGCCTACGGTAAAAATGCATTTTTTAAAAAAAATCTTATGATCATATTTAATTGGGAAAATCTTTAAAAGTATAGATGATTTAGAAAATCCATTTCAATTGGTTTAATAACCATAGTGATTAGGACTGAAACGATAAATCAGTTTAATCGTGATTAATTGATAATTGAAATACTTGTTAACTGGATAATATAGACTCAAAAAAAGCAACTGCTGAAAGAATAACAGTAATTCAGCCACAGCTGTACATAATATAAATAAATTTTATATTTAAGACAAAAACGCCATGGTCTATAAAAATGTTTGACCCAAAATGGAGTTTAACTTCAGTAAAGACATGTTAATGTCTGTAGAAAATATAAAATTTGAGTGTGTAGTCATAAGAATTGAGCAACAATTTTTAGAGAGCAGATTATATGTGAAGTTACATTTCAAAGTAAGAGGAACAAATAAAAAAAGGAAGCTACTGGGAAGAGCAGTATTAATCTCAAAACCATAGTATTATCATTAGTACTATCATTAACCATGAAATTAACACAAATGTTACTTTTAAAAGAGTAAAAATAGGAATCAGAATATTATCATGGTAATTAATAAAGCAGGCAGCTGTTGGCTGTCAGGTTAATTACAAATCTCATCTACATAAATATTAATTATATGCTCAAACGCAGTTACTTATAAATAAATCTAAGCAGTTTATGTATAAAATGTTGGTGTTCTGTACAGTTTTACCTGTAGAAACTTGTTTTTTTTTTCTTCTTCTTTCTGTGTGACTTCAGCTGATTGATCTCCTTCACATCTGATGAGAATTGATTTGTTCTCTTTGGATTTTCGATCTGCTTTTCGCCTCGGTGATTTTTCACTGCGACGTTGCGGCCGCATGTTGTGTTTTTTTGTTGTTGTTTTTTTTCTCTGAGTGTGTACCAGTCATAAACCCCCCCCAGAAAAGGCCACCCAGCCAGACCCCAGACAGCAGGCGAAAGTCGATACAAATGTTATTGAAACTGGCTATTGATATTCCCAAAGCTGACTGCTTGGCCACTTAGTCGGGGAGCTTTTTCTTCTCTGCATACAGAGCGTTGAGGTTTCTCCCCTCATAGTGGGTGGTTCTGTTCATTCATGCGTCTTTGTCTGAGCCTGAGAAATACGCAGGTCCCTTGTCGTCTCTTATTTTCATGCTTTTCCGTTTCAGTCATGATGAGTTCACTGCATCTCAGTCAAAGTGACATCTCAATATAAAGTCAGCTGCAGTGAGGGTTTTGGTTTTGGTTCAATTCAGTCATGGAAAGGTTTGCATATTTTTTTAAGGGTATACATATCGCTTAACCACTTGATTTATGGCAGAGCATCAAGCAACTCACTCAGATATGTGGGTTAATATAATCCACTTATAGTGGCTACTAAGAGCTCATCAATAAAACATGAACAATAGCGATGAAACACAGGAATCCTATGTGAATTTGCGCCTTTCATGTGAAGTGCCCCCATTTTCATGGAGATTTCTTGGAGCTAAAGATCCACCACAATGAATATTTTATCAAGAATTCATAATAAAATACTGTATTCATGCTAAAGTGAAAGAAAATATTCTTTATCACTGGATGACAGCAGAAACAACACTAGATAGATATTTCTATCTAGTGTGGCCCCCGAGCCACACTTTTGCCACCTTAGATCTGCTGTATTTGTAAAAATCAATGGACCAAATACATTCTTTGGTTGCTTTAGTTTTATGAGTCTTTACAACTCCATATTTTCCTGTTTCTGCACTGCAAAAACAGAAAATCTTACCAACTAATTTCAGCCTGGTTTCCAGACATTAAATTATATCCTCAAATCTTTCATTAAACATTATTTCCATGTATTATCCATTAATATTTTCTGTTTTTAATATCCTCATCTGAGACATTTGAACTCTTGGAATAAGAAAACTTAGCAGTCAAATAAAAATAACTGACTAAATTTATGACCTATAAACTTTATTTTCTGAGGTACCAATAATACAATGAGTTATGTAAGATTTTTCATTATTTTAATACTGACCCACTCAATAACTGTATCTCAATACATCTGTGTAATCTCCATAGATTATCCTCTTTGTTACAAATCCACTCTTATGGATTTCTTTTTTTTCACTGATTCATAGAGAAAAGAATCAGATTAACCCAAATCCTGCATATCAGATGCAAATGTATACATTCAAGAGATTAAATTTACTGTAGATTCTGCAGGAAATGTTCAGTCAATAATATATTGTAAATCTTTTTAACATCTGTTTAATGATTATGTATCTCAAGTTGTCAAATTGGAGATTTCTGAACTGCTGAGTAGTTGTGCACTGTATTCATATGGAGGTCTAAGCCTCCAATGTAAGATGAATTAAATCTGGAAAAAAATGTCAGATTAAACAGAAAACAGGGGTATCTGCTGACCTTGTTTCTTGTACATTTTCATCCTGAACAACTAGTGCTACCTTAGTGTCTATGTTTTAAATGAGGGGTGTTTTAATTGATTTGATATTTAAATTTTTCTCTAAACGCAACCAAACACTCATTCAAATGCAACTTTGCAAACCAAAGAGGTCAACTACCCCGCAGCTCACATTTACAAAATCTTTTTTTTTGTCCATCAACTCAGCTATTTTTGTGCAGCAAAGTGTTTTGTTTGGATAATGTGGTTGGCTAAAGGAGTCAACATTTTGACTGTTAAACTTTCACTAGTGTCTTTTGAGCAAAAGCAGCACAAACAAAACTTTTTACTGCAAAAATGTAGTTGAGTTGATTGACACCAAATTTGTCTGACATAACAAGTTGGGGTGTGGGTTTGGTTAACCTTTCATGACCTCTGGTAACTTTTAACTCATTAATATCTTTAAAATGACAGCAGCACAAACAAAAAGATGTAGCACAAATGTTTGACGCCAATCTTGTTAGATTTAGCAACATCAGAGAGCAAGTTGTGGACTAATTTTCCTCAGTGTCTTCTAGATATAGTTTGCTGAATAGTGGCCCAAGCTGCTGTTTGACACTAATTTCTTTTTTTTCTTTTTTTTATTACTTTGCACTAAAACTCAAAAGATGACTCCTCACTTTTAAGAGAAATTGCGGTTTTAATTACACTTTACACACCACCTCATTAATACAGAGAATTGAAGGAGCCATATTGTCATAATTACCAAACATTTACACAGACTTAGGGTAATGTTGCTACAATTAATTTGTTTTTCCTTATCTCCCGAATGTAGCCGTTGATATTTCTTACCTGAAAAGCCAGATGGCAGCTTGTAAGTTGTAGAGTCTATTGGGAAATAAATCGCCCACAAGAGGAAATTAAAAGGAAAGCCACCTGTCTTTAATTTAAGCACAAATTAGTTTTTCATCCATTTCTTTCATGTTAGGTAAACTCAAATGACTCCATGGTCTGACTCACAGATGGGAGCTGATTTAAGTGGAAGCACTTTACATTTTAAGTCCATGTTTTCACTCCAAACAACTTCATATATTGGCGATAAATTGTGTTCTCCTGTTTATTTTTTACAGCAAATAACCCCAAAACAAACAGCCTTTATAAGCTTTTAGTTTTCAGCATAGAAAAATGGACAACATCCAAATACACTTGAAGTGTAATAGACTTAAGAGTGGAGATATTTGCTGAACAGGTCAAAAAGGTTTTTTTTCTTCTTCTCAAATGAGACCTATTATGCTAAATTTTATATCTCCATTTGTATTTCTACTGCTTATAAAAATACTACCAAGCACTTAAAGAAAACACCCAACTGTTTTTTGTCACTTGGATAATATTTTTTGATGCCTGGAAAATTAGCCATTTTAAAAAGCTCCAGATTAAGTCACATTCTGCAGGCACTGCCCGTTACCTAGCAACACCGGCGAGCCCAGCCCGTTACCTAGCAACCCAAATGGAGCTCCAGCATGTTTGGTCAGCTGATTTTGTAAGCGCTGTACAACGGCTACTGGAAAAGACAACGGCTTTGTTGTTAATTTCCCATTCAGAAGCGAATTGCTGCTTTATGTTGCAGCCATTTTTAAGTTCGAGTGTAAACGTTGAGTTGGAGGGCGTGGATATCAGAGGTTTATTTGGGTTTAAAGTGCCAGACACCCTAAAACGGCTCATTCTAATTGGAACTCAGAATAAAATTTAATTATCTTAGAATGATTTTCTGCAAAAAATGTAACATGTTTTGTGTAGCCCATAAACCTGTTCTTACCTGTTCAAGAATGTTTAATATGTACCTTTAGCGAGAAGATTCAACTAATTAATAAACCAGCGCTGTTCTAAAGGTTCCCAGCCAGAAGGCACAGTTTATGTCAATCTACATTTTTGTAGTAAATTGTAATTACTGTTGTAACATGGCTGGTTCTGACCCGGTTGTGTCTGGTTTTCCTCCAGGGGAGCTGGTGGACAGAGGCCTGTGCTCCTCCTCGGCCGTCTTGGAGCCCGTTTCCTGTGAGGTGCCCTGTGCCAGAGACTGCGTGCTCAGCGACTGGACGCCGTGGTCGACCTGCTCCCAGACCTGCTCCAGCAAAACCGTGGAGGGCAAGCAAATGAGGACCCGCTCCATTCTGGCCTACAACGCCGGGGAAGGTGAGTCCGCTATGAGAAAACATTCAGATGTCGCCTTTTCCAGTCGTCCTCTGCTGTCAGCCACAGAGTGTCTGATTTCACACTTGTCTGCCTTTGCGTTTGTCCTTATCTCACAGTCTGCTTATCTGTCCTGATGATTATTTCTGTTGGTCTGTCTCCTCGCCTGACGCTCACTTTTTATCTCGCTGTCGGATCTTTTCTCGTTCTTTGGAGTTTGAACCTGTGTGTGTTCTCCTTTTTGTTTTCTCTCCTCTCATCTGGGTGTGCGTTCTGCTCAGTCACTGCGATGGTTGTGGCGTGGATCACAGTGATGGAGGGTAACGGTTCTAATTAAAGATTCCTGGTAGCTATTTTAAACCTCTAGCTATGTGTTTGCATAAAATAGTCGGCTTGTTTGGAGCTCAGAAGAAATGTTGTCCTTTTAGGCCCCTTTAGGGGAAATTTATAATTGATTTTGAATTAATTCAGCTTGTTGCTGCCTAATTCAGTCAGGCCTTGTTGGTCTTGTGTGAAATAGCCTTACTGTTGTTCTGCTGCTGTAGTATTAGTTTATTCGGCCCTAACCTGCCATAATAACATTTAAAATCTGTTTTTTATCAAGGTCTGTCACGGGTGCCCCAGTTCCCAGAACTTTACGGTAATATTTGACTCCTATTAGACTAGATGTAGCTTTTAGAGGGACTATGACTTCATTAAATAACTGTCTCTAATCTTTGTGAATATACATACTTAAGAACAATAACTAAAAGAATCCCTTTCTATCTGCATAGCAGATTATCTGATTAGATTTCAAGATCCCTGGCTGATTTTGCAGCTTGTCTGTTGCATATTAATAAAGGAGAAACTTGTTGGAACTGCAGGAACCACTCAAAGCGTAAGACGCAGGGATCATATTAATATGCAGCCACCCATGTTTGCACGGGACTCTGTGTTAATTAGTGCATTAATAAGCAAATTAATGACCTAATTAGCATAACTGCCTATTCTGTGGTGATTATGGAGGGACTTTGGAAAGCCCTAAGTGCTTCTCACTGTTTGACACCCATCAGGATGAATGATGCTCAAGATTCATGTTAAGAAGCCATTTGTGAATGAGACGCAAAAAGTAATTATTCTTGGAAGCATTTGCCATTTGCGACAAAGAAATGCAATAAGAAAGAGCAACATTTTGACTAGTCGTGTCTAAAAAACAAATACGAGATAAACTTGTTTGAGTGATTGATCATCAGGAAACTTAAAGGAGAGGCAAAATTCTGATTTTGCACATTTGTACTTCCATTTGGGTTTCTACTGCTTCTAAAACCAGCCCAACTGCTCAAAATAACTAACAAAAAACCCCAAAAACAAATAAACAGCCAAATAAACATTTTTTTTGGCAATCATTTCCTGTTTTTTGGTGTCTGGAAAATAAGTAGTTGTCAAAAATCAGCAGGCACTGTCAGTTACCTAGCAACCCCAGCAAAGCCCAGCCGGGTACATAACAACCCAAACTGAACTCCAGCACGTATGGTCAGCTGGTATGTGCTGTGGCTGCTGGAAAAGACATGTTTTGTTGTTGACTTGCCATCCATAAACCACTTCCCGAATTCTTGTCGGTTGTGCAGAAGGATCCACTTCTGCTTTTCCAAGATGTACGGATGTATAATATCACATCTGTTTGCAACCATTTTCACGTGCGAGTGTAAACATTGAGTTGGGAGGCCAGTAGCTTATATGGATTTAAAGTGACAAGAGGCTTTAAAAGAGCTCATTTTGGTTGGAGCTCAGAACATAGTCTCATTATCTACGAAGTATTTTCTCAAAAAAGATGTAAGGAACATGCTTTTTGTAGCTCATAGGCCATATATGTCAAACTTGAGGCTCAGGAGCCAAATCTGGCCCGCCATAAAGTTTTTGTAACCCAGAGGGCCATGTGAATAGAACCTTGAAAATAACCCTTAAATAATATTTCATCAATCAAATGAAAGAGTTTTCAACTTAAGAGGATTAAGACCACAATTAGGAATTTTTTATTTTTTCAAAATGATGTTTTTTTCTCAGGATTTACCAGAAAGTCAAAATTCTGAGGAAAAAAATTCAGAATTCTGAGAAAAAAGGTCAAAATTCTTACCCTTTCTCAGAATTTTGACTTTGGATCACAGGAGACTAAAGCCAGTCTTTTTGTTTTTTTGTTTTTTTCAGTGGCAGTTAATTGTCTTCCATAGTTTTCTGTATTTGTATCCTGCCAAATTACATCAATGTGAAATGATGTTCAGCATTATCTGACTGTAAGAAGTATTTACTGAATGCAGAAACGGCTATTTATTAAAATTTTAGAGGCTTGTTATTGGGTTTTATCAATACATTCCATCACAACTGGAAATCTTGAGTTTGAATCTTGAACTAAATATGACTGTGACATTAGTTCCATAGACGAGTGTGTGGATGAGTGTGGAATAATAGAAAAACAACAATATTTCCAGCCTTTATTCCCTGTCCTGCTGTCTGCTTGCTGCAGCTGTCTCATTGTTGGATCTGATTGGCTCCTTTTTATCTTCTCACCTTTCTGTAGCGAAGCCACAGAGTTCAATATTCCCTGAGAGCTGCTTCAAGTGTAATTTAATGTTCCACCTACAGCTGCTTCCAGCTCATTTTCACATGTCATGTTCATGTTGGGGCTGTTATCACTCAGTCCGCTCAGGTTTTCTGGCACAGTCAGCAGGAAGGAAGTCGCAGAGATCTCATTGTAGTAGTTTGGCTCCAGTGTGTGAACGCCGCCGCTCTATTCAGAGATGGCTGCCTGACGACTCCGGCAATGAACTGCTGCTGTGGAGGACTCTCCGCCCTGCGACACCTCTCAATCTGTACTGAAAGCTTTAAGTGTCTGAAGCTCTGCTCCCAGTCCATGACTGACTGCTGCCTCACCAGAAATGGAGAGAAGACTGTCAGAAAGAGAGAAACAAGTTTGGAGATTTTAAAACCACATGAAAAGGGTGTGCATTCTAAAATAACTCAATTTAAAGTCCAATAAACAGCTGGAATTTGAGTTTATGGAGGCACTCATGTTTATTTTTTGGTTTTTTTAGCTTTATTGTTTTGGGGGGTTTAGCTTTAGGTGGCAGACTATCCAAAAAAATATATTCAAGTAAGAGTAATTCTACTTGAACATATTTTTAGTCAAGTAAAAGTGAAAAGTAGCCGTCCAAGAAATTACTGAAGTAAGAGTTAAAAAGTATTTGGTAAAAAATTGGATCCAGTCATTTAATATTTAAAAATTATTTACTCAAATGGACCAAAATATAAAGTTAAGTGGAAATGTTGGTATTTTTAGGACCACAATGACAATAACCGATATAAGTAACAAAAAATAAATTAAAACAAAAGAAAGATTTTTCAAATCAGTTTCTTTCAATAAAAAACTAATGAATCTTTAACAGAATCTGCAGGTGTGTCTGCGTCTTTGAATCTTTGGTTAAAACATGTTTTTCATTCATTAAGCAGAAAATCCAGAAATTTTACTCAACTAAGATAAATAAATAAATATTCTCAAGTAAAAAATGCATCCTATTAAAATACCTCTAAAGGTACATGTAGTCAGAAAAAGTTACTCAAGTAAATATAGTTGAGTAACAGTAACTAGTTAGTACCCAGCACTGCTTCCCTGTGACTCTCTGCTTCCCATCCTCAGGCGGCTCCCTGTGTCCGAACAGCAGCGCCCTGCAGGAGGTGCGGAACTGTAACGAACACGCCTGCATCGTTTACCACTGGCAGACGGGGCCCTGGGGTCCGTGCACCGAGGACCCCTCCACCGCACCGCTCAACACCTCCGCAGGGACGCGTCCCGCCGCGGACGCTCAGGGCCTCTGCTCCATGGGAGTGCAGACCCGGAAGGTCATGTGCGTCCGGGTCAACGTGGGACAGGTGCCACCCAAAAAGTAAGCAGATCTCAGTTTTATCTAATGCAGGAAACCTTCAAGGGAAACTTTTGGCAGGGGCAGTGTTGTGTAAAATCGACTTTTTTGATGTTATTCCCTCATCTAAAACGTACTTTGATTCTTTCATGCATGTTGGAGAAATCCTTTAATCTCCATGACAACCATTCAGCTGTGCAAAACGGCAGGGTGGACCTAGCCCCGCCTTTGAGATGCAGTTTTTAAGCTTCCGAGCTTTTGGCTCACAGAGCAGCCCTCCTCTGCTCTGCTCCTTCAGACTAGCCAGCAGGAATTAGCACACACCTGCTGGAACTGTTCATCTTCTGACCTCACTATCGGAGCTACTTCTTAGTGAAACACTGGTAAAAATGTTATTACAGGGTTAATAGAGGAGCCATGTTGAGATGACTTCCTGAAGGCGGAGCTTCAGAAACAGCTGGAGTTTTTAAAGAGACAGAGGCCCAATTTCAAGGCATTAAATGACAAAGTTTGAATTCTTTTAAGTCATGTTGGATAACAATTGAAGCTAACACAGTCATTTGATTATTAATCGTAGTCTTTATAAATGTGCCCATTTCACAAAATACTAAAAAAAACCAGTAAAATCTAAAAGGTTCTTGTTTTGTTCTGGCACTTAGCAAATAAAAACATTATGGCTCATCCTTATTTTTCCAAGACAGGAAAGGTTTGGTCTGAATTAATACCAGAAGAGAGGAGAAAAGTTTGACGTTTTCATATGTTCCAAAGTATGAACAATAAATGAAGAATACTTTCCCCTCGCTGCATAAAACGTGTCTGAGGTACTTTTTCCCTTTCGTTACCCCTCGGTTTCCTGGAAACGACTTCTCCAGGAGATTCAAAGGTCACAAAACCTGCAGCAACTTCATCAGTGTAAGAAATGGGTCATTTAGCATGAGCAGTAAAATGTCACTGATGTACTCCATCACCTCGGTTTTAATGCCCGTAGAAGCAAGCAATCAAAGTCCTGCCACTTTCTTCAGACACATCTTCTGCTCTCCTGCCAGAGCTGCAGCTTCCAGCCAGCGTTAACGCTCAATAATCTCCGCTAAGCATCTCACTGACGAACTGCTGAAGGAAAATCTGGAAGACGAATTGTGAGTCTTACCTGGACAGGAGGCAGATTCATTCAGGCTAAAATTCATCATTTGTGAAAATTTAAACTCAGATTTTACCTGCTCAAACTGAGCACACAATAAACTACCATAAACAGACGGGTTATAGGTTTTGTAAGAATGGATGTGGAAGTAACTGTACAGAAAGAAAGACTCAGCTATACTGTAGCATTTTTGGATCAAATTTAATTAAGAGCTTATTTTGCTGAACTAAAGTCTGCTTTTGAGTTAAAGTCACCAAGTAAAATGTGTTCCTGTTTACAATGAAACCATAGAAAATGTAAAAAAGATGAACAAACATTTTCCATTATAAGAACATTATAATTTGTTTGTAATCATTTTGTGTTAATTAAAAACAGAAAGTCTCCACCTGGACCTGTGCTGGCAGACAAAACTTGTGTACATTTTTAATTGTAATTGAAGGGCCACACACAATCAGTACAGGGGCCACGTATGGCCCCCAGGCCGCACTTTGGACACCGCTGCTGTACAGTAAGCCAGGCCTGTCGCAGTATGCAATTAATCAATGAATCAATTAAACACATAAACTGAATCATTTCCATTGTGATGGTTAATATTTTTTGAAGGATAACTGTGATTACTGCGACTTTAGGATCCATTTTATTTACGGTTTTTGGTCGTCGTGTTTTATTTTAGAATATTTTCCAGTTCCATTATTATGCCATTATCAATATATTACTTGGTAAAATATTCTGAAAACAACAATATTCGCAATATTCGTTTATCACAACAATATCTGGGAGAATTTTTCATTTAGCAAAATTTGTTGTTGTTTTTGGGGGGGGGGTTAAACGTTATTTGTCTTGACTTTGGGCAATATTTGAATTAATATTATTAAGGTAGTGGCTCTTTAAATACACAAAATCGTTGTAAAAAATCTAATTTTCACAATAGTAGCTTCTTTGCAAAAAGACAGGCTAAAATAATAACAAAATGTATTTTGTTGACTATTAAAGTTTCACACCACATTGTGTATGGAGACTGAAATAAGTCTAACATGTTGAGTGTTTGAATTAATTCCTGCAGGTAATTCAAGAGTTTTTGTTGTAAACTTTTCTTTCTCACCTTATAAAATCAACTGTGTGCAGAGATGAAGCTGAATTTGTATCTAAAGAAGAGAAACAGAAAAAAGAATCTATTTTTAAAGTTCCAACACTGATTTTTACAAACCCAAAACCCTCTGACTTTTATTTGACACCAGCTTGTGACTGCATCGCTCTAATTCCTGCGCATGCAGACATCAAACGTTGCAATCAGATGCAGCTGCACACATCATTAGAAAGTCTATTTTTGGTCTGACTGAGTCTCATTAAACAGAAAGACTTTTTATCTTAATGATTTTTTTAACTGATTTATTGAAGACATTCTTATAATCAGTCCTTCAGGATATAAAAAAGTGATTAAATTAGAAGAAATAAAAGATGAACAGAAATATGAGTTTATTTGTATCCAGCCAATTAACACCGAACGTCATCTGAAGGCATTTTGTAAGATAAAGAGTTTAGTTTGTTTCAGAATCTGTCAGAATAAACACTTTTCTTTTTTCCCACCAGTTGCAGCTTTAATGGGGATCGGTTCTTTCTCAGCACCAAAACGTTTTAATCAGAAGCCTGTGGGTTTACGAAGTTTAAAAGCTGATGAAAAAACTTCTCTGCACCTCGTTGGGTTCAGAGTCGGGGTGATTTCTAAACCTGAGGTTTAACACCGATTAAAATAATAAAACTGGGACTACAGAAACTTAACTTGCTTTATTTCAAATGCAGTCTTTAAAAATATTACCAGTTTCAAAATTATTTTTCTATAGTAAACTGTTATTCCTGTTTGAATATTGATTAAAGATACTGACTTTATATTGCTAAAGTGATTCTGTTAAAGCAGACATGAAGCACTTATTCCCGATTATGTATTGATTATTTCATTTATAGTAATGTTAGGCATAGCATATTTTTTTTTTTTATTGTTACTTTCACTTTTATGTGTACAAATAAGAATTAATGGTTTATTATTCTCTGGTTATCAGTCTGCAGTCAGAACTACCTGTAAGAATAATAAAATAATCAAATAATTAATCAATTTCTAGTGAAATTAGTCATAATTAGGTATAACTCTGATCAATATAAGGCAGCAAACTGCTTCCAACAGGATCTTAGTTTGTTGTTTTATGAAATTTTAAATCAGGGTCGAAGGAGATCGGCGGCAATAACGAAACCAAACGCTGTTTCTGCTAGAATTAAATGTGCTCGATTTATTTCCCCACAGATTACAGCAAAATAACATGCATCAAACACGGTTACTGCTAGAACAAATATGCTCGACTTATTCCCCACAGAACACAGTACAAAACACTCTATGACTAAACGCGTGATGCTCGATTCATTCAAGTTACCAGCGCTTACCTGTTGAAACTTGGCCGGAGAGCCTTCGGCCTAGAGATAAGCAGTAGCATCAACGTAGCTGGGCATTCGGACGCGATCCACAGCAGACTCTGACTCAAACCGCGGGCTTTTTCGTATTTTATCTCTTAAACAAAGGGATGCCTGCGTGCAAAGGGGGAATGGCCATTTCCATCCTTGCAGGCGAGCCATCCAATCAGAGGTAGCCGCTCTCTGACCATGAGCCAATCATGGGCTGAGAGCGTGAACCAGCAGACCAATCAGAGCCCAACCCAAGTCAACCAGAGCCAAGCACGCCCTGTTCACGTGATCTGCATGAGCTTGCAGCATGTTCAATTTGCATAATACATTGAGCAGAATAAGTTTTATAAAGAGCAGCTTTATCAAAGAATGAAAGAAACGATAATAAAAAGATAATAAAAAGAATAATGATTATCAAAGAACATAAAAGATAATAAAAAGATAAAAATACAAAATACCAGATCATTTGTGCATGTAGATTAATTAAGAATGGAAGAGGTACTAATAAGTATTTGATCATTTTCAGTTTATTCACAGCCCTATGTTCCCTAATGTAAAGTCAGAATACACTTTCATAAGAAAAATTCATTGGAAGAGATGATTTAGGTATGTGAAGATCTAAATTATTCTCTGGTTATATGGAAAATCAGTAAAATCTGAAAAGATGAAAATTCCCAGTTTTGTTGTTCATATAAAAAAAAGACAAACAAAAATCATCATATAAACATTTCAAATGTTTTATTAAATTAAAAAGCACTGTAAATGTAAAATTTTTGCCAACATCTTTACAGCATATAAATTCATTAGCATTAAATTAATAAACAGTATTTTTGTCATGTTTCTGCTGCTGCTTTGTGAGCTTCAGCTCGACATTTTCTGAAAAGCTGCTCCAGTTTTTTCAAGTCTAAAATGTTTGCTTGTTTAGATCCTTCCTGTTTAAAATGTTAGCTTGATAAACACATAAGGAAAGGACATCAGTACCTGCAGATGTCTGCAGATTGTGATGAAAACAGGGGCGAGATGGGAAGTGCCAGCAGCGTGAGCGTAAAGTGAGTCAGAGAGAAAACAAGCAGACTGACAGAGCTGGTTAAGTAAACGGAGCACACCCAACACGAGTCCCAGTTCATATCTTCCCTTTGCAGGCGACCATAGATAAATAATCTCTGTGTCCCTGAAAGCCTAATTAACCCTGCCGTTTTGGGCACTGGTGATTTCTCATTGATGATAATGACGGTAATTAAATGGGATTGATACTTTAAGGCAATTTAATCACGAGGCAGATGAGAGGCAGGATGTTTGCGGGTAGCTGTGAGGACCATACCACATGAGGCGAATTCAAAATAGATGAGTTTACCCAAACATCTGTCAGAAAGTTCAGCTCAGGGCTCGCTGCTTTCGCTCCAACGATCCCATCGACAACACCAGGACCCGAAAG